GGGCTGGAGCTGAGCCCCCGCAGCCCCAGCCGCCCCTCACCCCGCAGCACAGGAGAGCTTCGCCCATCCGTGGGCAGGTTGGCAGGGCTTGTTTTGGGGGAGTGGTGGGGGTCCTCCCTGGCCCTTGTGCCCAGCATTGCCCCTGGTCCCCTGTGCCCTCTCCACTCTCCAGCCCTTGTCCCTCTGCCCCAGCCTTGCTGCCCAGGAACCATCTTTCCCCAGGGGGTCCCAGCCCAGGGGGGCCGACACTGTCCTGTCCATGCTGCTAGCACCCCCGTGCCTTTGAGCCTGCTGTCGTTGATGATGATTTTTAATGAGCCCTCGCAGCCCCAGCCGCCCCTCACCCCGCAGCACAGGAGAGCTTCGCCCATCCGTGGGCAGGTTGGCAGGGCTTGTTTTGGGGGAGTGGTGGGGGTCCTCCCTGGCCCTTGTGCCCAGCATTGCCCCTGGTCCCCTGTGCCCTCTCCACTCTCCAGCCCTTGTCCCTCTGCCCCAGCCTTGCTGCCCAGGAACCATCTTTCCCCAGGGGGTCCCAGCCCAGGGGGGCCGACACTGTCCTGTCCATGCTGCTAGCACCCCCGTGCCTTTGAGCCTGCTGTAGTTGATGATGATTTTTAATTTTTTTTTTTCTTAATCATATTCCCTCTGGCAATGAAATAAATCTCAGTTCTTTGGGGCATGAGAGCGAGTTAATCCTTTCCTTGCCTCCCTTGTACTCCTGCGCCTGCATGGTGCCAGGCAGCCCAGTGGCATGGGTTTGGCTGCATGCGGGGGCACAGCGGGGCTGGACCGGTGCACCCAAATAGGGCTGACCTGTCCCCATCGTGCCAGCAACACCCGGCTCTTGGCTGCCTGCAGCCTGGCCCACCACCAGGAGTTGTGACAGCTTGGCCCTCAAAGGACACCAGCTTGTCGGGGCTGTGCCCCCCAAAGCAGAGGTGGTCAAGAGTGTGGCGGGGATCACCTTCCACCCTGTCTGAGCTGCTGTTTTTCCCATAGCTGCTTTTGGGAAGGGTGGAAGCACAGTGGGATCTCATTTGCAGGCTGCTCCAGCAGATACTGTGGACAGGGAAGGACTGGGCAGGGATGTAGCCGGAGCTGCAGCGCTCCCAGTCCCGGGGTGGGCAGGGGAGAGGTATCAGAAGCCTGGGGCTGTCCTTGCCACGTGGCTGCCAGCGCGGCACCGGCGGGCAAGGCATGCTCCGGTGTGAGCGGTCCAGCCGAGGCAGCCTCACGGTGGCCGTGCCAGGTGGTGCCAGCCCAGCCAGGCAGGTGCGGGTGGGCACCAGGGACTGAGCTAGTGGGGATTGGGGGTGCCAGCCCGGCCAGGAGAAGCAAGTGTCTGGGGGATGACACCTCGCTTTTCACCACCATGGCCTCTGCAGCCTGGTTTGCCACCAGCCTGCGCCCCTGAGGGATTTTTCCCCTGAGCAGAAGCAATGAAATGACCAAGCCTGTAGGGGAACTTTGAAAAGCCCCTTTTCAGCTTGGCTGCCAGTAAACGATGGGTTTGCTCTCTGGGGCTGGCCTGCAGCCTTGCTCCCACGGGCCGGGCAGGAGCAGGGTCACTGCAGGCAGCTGCTCGCGGAGCACCTTGGGACCCTGCAAAGGGCTGGGGTGCACACCAGGCTGGGTGCCAGCCCCATGGGGCGGGATCCCCTTGGCTCGCCCTGTGTCCCCGCTTGCTCCCCAGTGCCTGGGTGCCCAGGGCCACGTCCCTGTCTGCCTGCAGGGTGGGGGCATGGCACCTGCTGGAAACTGTCCCCCCTGCCGCTGCTGCCCTTTGCTGCCCAGGCAGGAGCCCCGGCCCCTCACAGGATCCCCAAATCCCGCTGCCCCAGTGCGCTGCTTGAGGGCGCTCGGAGCCCCTCCTGCTCTGTTTTCGGTTGACCCAGAAGACAAAACAAGACAGAAATCCGGAAGCCACAGAAATCAGAAGAGCGCGGTGTGCCCGTCAAACTGCAACCCGGTGAGGGCTGGGCCAGGCTGGGTGAGCAGCTGCCGGGGCCAGGAACGCAGCGAAGCGCCAGCCGGGGTAGAAATGTCCCCTCTGCTGAGGGGGTGTCACCGCACACCTGAGCCCTGCTGCACCCCAGGCATGGGGAGCAGGTCCCAGAGGGCAGCAGGCAGCTTGCGTGGTGGCAAGGGTGGGGTTGGGCGACTTTGGGGCTGCAGTGAGGGAAACCGGGGGAAACCTGTGACAAAATTTATATCGGGGGTTGATGGCACCGAGCTGAGGGGCATGGAGGAAGGCAGGGATGGAGCAGCTGTGTCCCACCCCCTGGTCCTGTCACCCAACCCTGACATCCACCATTGATCCCAGATGGGTGCTTCCCCTCGGGGTGTCTGGGCATTGCCTCTGCCCACGTGCAGGGTGTGTGCGCTGCAGGGTGCCCATGGAGCAGGATGCACACAGTGCAGGGTGCTCTCTTATGTAGGGTGCCCGTGGTGCAGGGTGTGTGCATGGTGCAGGGTGCCCACAGTGCGGCGTGTGCATGGCACAGGGTCCAGCACTGCAGGGTGCTGGTAGTGCGGGTGCCTGGGGTACGTGGTGCGTGCGTGGTGCAGAGTGTGCAGGGGCTTGGCAGTGCCAAGTACACACGGAGCAGGCTGCCGGTGCCGCAGGGTCCCCACGGGATCAGCTTCACTCTGGGCTCGCTGCAAGGCTCTGGACACCTCTGCCTCGCTGGCTTCCTGATGCAACAGGGCAGGCGTGCCGGCAGGGGAGCGAGAAACCACAGCATCCCTCTCTGACTTGGCCTGGCACTGAGCAGGCTGAGATTGTTCTCAAGAGCATCCGGTGTCCTGCCGGTCCTTGCTGACATGGTGACACCCGCAGCTTCGAGTGGGGGTGGGTGGGGGAAATGGGTGCTGCTGGGCTGTGCCGGGAAGTGGCGGAGCAGAGGCTGTGCTCTCTGTCCCTGCCACGGGTTGCTGGGCCCCCCCGGGCTGCCCCGAGCTTGGCTCCTCCACCCCAGCCAGAAATGTCACTATGGGGCCTCTGCCACCGGGGCTTCGCCACTCAGCAGAAGGTGCTGGGTGGGGCATGGAGCGATTGCAGCAGAAGGTTGGGGAGCCCTGAGCCCCCTGCCAGCCCCCTGCCCTGCCCAGCCCCTGCGCCACACGCAGAGCCTCTGCAGCACTGTGTCATTTATTTCCAAAGCACCCTCTCATCCTGCCAGCACCCTGGCAAGGTAGGTCAGTGTTGGGTCTGGGGCAGGAGTTAGTCCCATTTTGCAAGAAGTTAAGTCACACGGAGTTGCTCAAGGTCCCAGTGTGGCAACAGCCAGGCTGGGAGGAGAGGTCGGGGCTCCTGTGTCCCTCCCTGCCCCATGTCCTGGTCTGTAGGAGGGTGCCCCATGCTCCCCCCACCCCAGTATCCTCTGCCCAGATGCATCCCCGATGGTCCCAGTACACACCAGCCCCATGCTAGGTGTTGAACCAGCTTGCCAGGTCAGGATAGACACGGCCGCGGGGCAGGCTGGGGTAGGCAGTGCAGATGGTGCAGATCCGCTCCCTCCAGTCGGTATAGAGCTTCACGCTGTACTTCTTCTGCCAGGCAAAGAACTGCCGGTAGCGGCTGGAGTTCATGGTCTTCAGGAAGGTGGCCAGCTCCGCCAGGGAACCAAAGTCATCGACGTGAATGAAGGAGTCTGTAGGAATGAACTGCTCGTAGTTGGCCCGGGGAGGCCCCAGCACCACAGGCACGGTGCCTGCCATCAGCGAGTTCCTCCAGAGCTTCTCGGTGATGTAGTCCTGGTGGATGGAGTTCTCGAAGGCCAGGTAGAACTTGGACTTGGATGTTGTTGGCAAGAGGCAGTCCTTGCAAAGTGGCTTTTTGTTTGCTTTCCCGTATATGTTCACGTGGAGGTACCTGGAGAGGTTTTTGTAGATTTCGGCTCTTTTCTGAGTCCTGTGGTAGTTGCTGATAACCCAGGACACCAAGTTGGTCTTTGTGGGGATGTTCATGGTGGCCGACTGGTTGGGCACAAGCTTGCCGTAGGGGATGAAGATGTCCGAGTCCTGTCTGTAGGTCATCACCCAGTTGAAGGTCTGGTTCCATCCCGCTAGAGCTTTAGTGTTGGAGGGGGACTCCAGGGAGACCCACACCCAGTTCTGCCCCGGTGGCCTCTCCTTGGGCAGCCTGTCCCTGCCCGGCTGGAGCCTGGCATGGGGGAACACCACCACGTTCGCCTGGCCCAGGAGCCGCCGCTCCGTGGTAAGCCAGCAGCCCGCGATGCCATACAGCTCATGGCAAATGTCCCCGCTGATGTTGGGAACCTGCTTTGAGGGCCATTTCCACACCAGGACCACCAGCGGCTTAGTGTGCTTGGGCACTTCTCTGGAGACCTCAGAGGGGTTTAGGAAGCACCTCAGGTT